CCAGGGGCTCCCACCACCCCTTCTACAACGGCTTCTACTACAACCACATCATGAACGACAAGGGCAACGGGCAGGAGAAAGGTATATTGGAGATTGGCACGGCTGGTAGGTCGCTGCGAGGGGTTGAATTCCTCCCCTGCCTCTGGGATGGGGCTGGCACCCATCTCTTGGGGGGGGAAGGGGCCCAGAGGAGCAGGTGGGAATGCTCCAGGGGTGCTCGGGGGATGCTCATGGGATGCTCAGGCAGAAATGGAGGTGGCTGGAGGGAGGACATGGAGCAGCTGCAGAGAGATTTGGAGATGCTGCCCAGCCCTGGATCCCGACCTGCCCATCAAGCCTTCCCTCCCTGTCCCCAGTGGCTCACTTCAACGGGGCCAGGCTGGTGGTGGAGACCCCCAAAGACCCCATCTACAGCTTCAGCGGCGCCAATGTCACCCTGCCCTGCCACTACAGCTATGAGCCCGACATGGAATCCAAGCGCAAGATCCGTATCAAGTGGTCCAAGCTGCGGGATGACTACACCAAGGAGCAGGACGTGCTGGTGGCCATTGGCAAGACCTACATGGCCTTTGGGAAGTTCCAGGGCCGTGCTTACCTCCACCAGACTGGCCGGCGCGAGGCCTCGCTGGTTGTCAGCGACGTGCGCTTGCAGGACGATGGCAAATACCGCTGTGAGGTCATCGATGGGCTGGAGGATGAGAGCAACGTGGTGGACCTCCGGCTACAAGGTGGGGGCATGGAGGGGACCGCATCACCCCCTGCGCCAAGCCAATGAGCCTGGCCTTCCCATGACAGCCTGTCCCTGGGGGAGGCAGAAAGGCAGGGGAGCTGGGGAGCCCAGTTGGGGGCAGAGAGGGGCTGGGATGGTGTGACGGAGCGGTGGCTTGGGGCTGTCTGACTGTGGGTTCTCAGCAGCGAGTGAGCCCGGAGCAGTCTGCCCAGCCAGGATGCTGGAGATGCTACTGTGGAGTCAGAGCTGGGGGTGACCCTGTGGCCACAGCATTTCCTGCCTCTACCCACCCGTCTTATCGCTGTGCTGCATCATGTGCAGCCACCCCCTCACCTCCCAGGGCTGGGTGTCCCCAAGTGTCTTGTGATGAACCTTGGTGACTGGTCCAACCCCTCTTGCTCACTTGCCATGAGGGACCTGACCCAGCCCTGGCTCCACTGCCAAGCTCAGAGCTGGGGAAATATCTGCCTTGCTCTGCCCCTGTCTACCCCCTTGTCCCCCGGGCTCTCCCTCCTTTGGTGGCTTGTCCCCACTGGTCACTGTGACTGTGGTCCGTGGTGGTGGTGGTGCACATGTTCCTGTGGTCTGTTCATCCCCATGATGGTGGTCCCTCCATCCCCATGTTGGTGGTCCCTGTGCCCCTATGAGCCTTGCCCATATGTCCCTGTGATCCTGGCCCATATATCCCCGTGATGCTGGTCCTTGTGTCCCTGTTCCTGTAGCCTGTGCATCCCCATGGCAATGATCTCTCCATCCCCACGGGGGTGGTCCGTGCCTCCCTGGGACCACCGTCTGTATGTCCCCAGGCCCGTGGTCCATGCATCTGTGTGGCGGTGATCCCTGCGTCCTGGTTATGACAGTCTGTGCATCCCTGTGTGTGCCCACGAGGGTGGTCCGTGTGTCCCCAGCCCCCCTGTCCTTGTGCCACCAGATGTCGCTGGCAATTCGCTGCTGTGGCCGCATCAGCCCCGTCCCTGCACGCCTGACCATGGCTTGGTCCCTGTCCCACAGCTGGATTTGGGATGGGTTGGGGACCCCTCCAGCTCCTGCTGGGGCCGGACTCGGGGCGGGTGGGCTGCCCACGGAGCC